GTTGCCAACATGCTTAGTTAAAACATTATGTATTTTAATGATGCCCAAACTGAATATTTGATCACTTAACTCCATGGAAGTACCTGCATTGTATGCATTAATGATATACTATCTCTAGATAAGATGTTAATGAATGTACAAGAAATGCAACCAAGCAACATAAAAATCTTCTGTTTCAAAATACATTGGTATCAGTCCATTACCCATTTCCAAAATAAAGGCCTTTGAATTTAAGCATTAAAGGTTTCTTTGGAGAGGAAGGCAATAACATTCATGAAGAGGATATAATCCTGATGTACTGAAGTCAGTAGCCCAACTCTCATTGCCTTCAGCGAATGCATGATTTCATCCATTGTTACAGAAATAAAAACCCTGGTGAATCAATTCCATTTTGAAGCATTCTCTGTACTATTGTACTTTGCTATTGCTGTAGCTCTATGTAAAATTGCTTTCCTCTCTTGTAAACAGGTATGTATATAACACACACACTATATAAGGCCTAGGATACTTAAACTACAGTGGTTTTAGAGCATAAGCCCGATTATAAATAGACTCCCTATTGCATTCCCAATGCCCAGTTCTCAATGGTGCAGTATACTTTAAAGGGCACCATCAACTTGTAATATAGTCTGATGTTTAAAATGAGAATTAAAATACAACACCGATCTTCAAATCCTGTTCCCCATTTTGATGGTTTTATAGTAGTTACTTGTACGTGAAACACCATAACAGATTATATAGGGGATATAAAAAAGCAAACTGGCTGAAAAAAAAACCAGAAAAAATGTATCCTCTAGTCTTTGTATTACACTTAGGCCTAAATTTCACCGCATGGATCCACCTGCAGGATTTAGCTCTTTGGGTGTTAGCTCTTGTAACAGATGTAGGTAACAAAATTCATATAGGAGTAAAGCTTTTTAAGCTAAGCATCCTTTTCAGATGAGTTATAACAGGAAGTCAATCTGAATGTTGCATGTACACTTATTGCTCCCTGTGTTTACACTTTATTCAATTTTAAGGAATATATTGTTAAATTGGAAGAGCCAACAGATTTATTCTATCTGAAAATATGACAATTTATAAAAATTGGTGGTGGTCATCTTTTAAAATATTCTGTTCTTTATTTAGCTAACCGCTTCTTACAACCTTTAAGAAAACAAAGCAGAATGTTAATTAAAAACAAACTATTATCCTGAATAAATATTTAAATTTGGAATTAGGCTGAAGGGGTCTGCGGTGATGCTTGAGGAAAAAAACTGAGGAGTTAAGGGTGCTGGCACTAATAACTCAATCTCCTATAGCCAGTGATAATCAGAGGCATTTTCATTGCAAGTCACATATTTTGCTTTGAAGTGCATAAATGTTGCCAACATGCTTAGTTAAAACATTATGTATTTTAATGATGCCCAAACTGAATATTTGATCACTTAACTCCATGGAAGTACCTGCATTGTATGCATTAATGATATACTATTTCTAGATAAGATGTTAATGAATGTAAAAGAAATGCAACCAAGCAACATAAAAATCTTCTGTTTCAAAATACATTGGTATCAGTCCATTACCCATTTCCAAAATAAAGGCCTTTGAATTTAAGCATTAAAGGTTTCTTTGGAGAGGAAGGCAATAACATTCATGAAGAGGATATAATCCTGATGTACTGAAGTCAGTAGCCCAACTCTCATTGCCTTCAGCGAATGCATGATTTCATCCATTGTTACAGAAATAAAAACCCTGGTGAATCAATTCCATTTTGAAGCATTCTCTGTACTATTGTACTTTGCTATTGCTGTAGCTCTATGTAAAATTGCTTTCCTCTCTTGTAAACAGGTATGTATATAACACACACACTATATAAGGCCTAGGATACTTAAACTACAGTGGTTTTAGAGCATAAGCCCGATTATAAATAGACTCCCTATTGCATTCCCAATGCCCAGTTCTCAATGGTGCAGTATACTTTAAAGGGCACCATCAACTTGTAATATAGTCTGATGTTTAAAATGAGAATTAAAATACAACACCGATCTTCAAATCCTGTTCCCCATTTTGATGGTTTTATAGTAGTTACTTGTACGTGAAACACCATAACAGATTATATAGGGGATATAAAAAAGCAAACTGGCTGAAAAAAAAACCAGAAAAAATGTATCCTCTAGTCTTTGTATTACACTTAGGCCTAAATTTCACCGCATGGATCCACCTGCAGGATTTAGCTCTTTGGGTGTTAGCTCTTGTAACAGATGTAGGTAACAAAATTCATATAGGAGTAAAGCTTTTTAAGCTAAGCATCCTTTTCAGATGAGTTATAACAGGAAGTCAATCTGAATGTTGCATGTACACTTATTGCTCCCTGTGTTTACACTTTATTCAATTTTAAGGAATATATTGTTAAATTGGAAGAGCCAACAGATTTATTCTATCTGAAAATATGACAATTTATAAAAATTGGTGGTGGTCATCTTTTAAAATATTCTGTTCTTTATTTAGCTAACCGCTTCTTACAACCTTTAAGAAAACAAAGCAGAATGTTAATTAAAAACAAACTATTATCCTGAATAAATATTTAAATTTGGAATTAGGCTGAAGGGGTCTGCGGTGATGCTTGAGAAGGACCACAGGAAAAAAACTGAGGCGTTAAGGGTGCTAGCACTACATGTAAGCAACACCACACTGAAGTCTAGAAATTGAAGTCTTTAATGCAACCTTAACAATGATCTTGCAACCATTTCACCATACTAAAGCAACAGTTTAGGCTGAAGGGAAGTTTTAGATCAATGGTAGGAAATAATCAGCCTGGGGGCTGGACAAGGCTCACCAAGGTTAGCCTTTTATTTACCTGCACCTCTGCAGGTATAGCTGCTTGAAGACCCCATTCACTGTGGATCACAGTTCCGAGCCAATAGGAGCTATGAGAAGCAGTCTCCCGGGATGCACCATTTCCTATAGCTGTCATTGGCCGGGAACGATGATCCGTGGTGAACAGGAGCTTAAAGCAGCTGCACCTGCAGAGGCACAAGTAAATAAAATTCAGGTAAAGAAAGAGTCAGCGACTGCTAGGGGCTAACCCTGGTGAATTGCCTCCTGCTTATTGCACACCCTTACATGACAGGGCATATTAAGACTATGTCTACACTACAGCTGTTCTTCCGAAAAACCTCATGGAGTGTCCACACCTCAAGCGTGTTTTTGTGCAAAAAAAAAAAAATCAAAAGAACAGAGGGGTTTTTCTGGCGTAAGTATCAAAAAAATCAAAAGAACAGAGGGGTTTTTCTGACGTAAGCTGAAGGGGTCTGCGGTGATGCTTGAGAAGGACCACAGGAAAAAAACTGAGGCGTTAAGGGTGCTAGCACTACATGTAAGCAACACCACACTGAAGTCTAGAAATTGAAGTCTTTAATGCAACCTTAACAATGATCTTGCAACCATTTCACCATACTAAAGCAACAGTTTAGGCTGAAGGGAAGTTTTAGATCAATGGTAGGCAATAATCAGCCTGGGGGCTGGACAAGGCTCACCAAGGTTAGCCTTTTATTTACCTGCACCTCTGCAGGTATAGCTGCTTGAAGACCCCATTCACTGTGGATCACAGTTCCGAGCCAATAGGAGCTATGAGAAGCAGTCTCCCGGGATGCACCATTTCCTATAGCTGTCATTGGCCGGGAACGATGATCCGTGGTGAACAGGAGCTTAAAGCAGCTGCACCTGCAGAGGCACAAGTAAATAAAATTCAGGTAAAGAAAGAGTCAGCGACTGCTAGGGGCTAACCCTGGTGAATTGCCTCCTGCTTATTGCACACCCTTACATGACAGGGCATATTAAGACTATGTCTACACTACAGCTGTTCTTCCGAAAAAGCTCATGGAGTGTCCACACCTCAAGCGTGTTTTTGTGCAAAAAAAAAAAAATCAAAAGAACAGAGGGGTTTTTCTGACGTAAGTATTCTTCATTCTACAAGGAAGAACGCCTTTTTGCGAAAGAGCTCTTTTGCAAAAAGGTGTGTAGGGACGGGGAAGAGGGGGTTTTTGCGCAAAAAGAGCAAAAAGGAAAAAGCTCATTTGCCCTGGTGGCCATTCTGTGCATAACAATCAGAGCTTACTTTCGAGAGAGCATCCATGAGAGAGTCTGGATGCTCTCTTTCGCAAAAGCGCATTGTTTTTTCGATGCACTTTTGCAGTGTGGACACACTCTTGCACAAGTAATTTTTGTAGAAGATCTCTTCTGATAAAAGCTTCCTGCACAAGAAGCCTGCAGTCTAGACGTAGCCTAAGGGATATTTACCTCCCTTTACTGCTGGACACTGAACAGCTATGAACTATATCTTCAGCTATTGGAATCAGCTTAGTTCTAGCCAATACCAATGGAGTTGCACCTGATGATACCAATCAAGGATTTATACCTATACTTAGCTGAACATTGCACTCATGATTAACTGCTAAGAAATATTTTGTTTAATTAAAGTTTAATTCTAATAAATAGGTGCCAGCCTGACAACTCTGAGGAATAGAGTCCTATTGAACACAAAATGGTACAGAAGGATAGTACAAGTTATTCTACATGACCATTCTTCCCTGTTTTGTTTCAATTGTGACCTGAACTGAAGAGTGAACAGGGTCTGTTAAATCTTTATTAAACTACCTGGTAAATCTGCTAACAAAAACATGAAGTGTAATTTTTTTAAATGACGTGAACAGGGATATTGTAGACAGTAGGTCAATGCCACCAATTTATTTCAGGTAGGCCAAATATCCCTCAAGTTGTAAATACTTTTGGTAACCAAGCTAGTTGACCATTCTGGTCCCAGTGATCCAAAAGGTATTTACTTCAATCTCCCCTTAAAATTTTGGAGTGCTTACTGCCTCCAATTGTTTAATATTTTAAAAAGAATTTTTTTTGAAAGATCCAAAAGGTATTTACTTCAATCTCCTCTTAAAATTTAGGAGTGCGTACTGCCTCCAATTGTTTAATATTTTTAAAAGAATTTTTTTGAAGTCACTTACCAGTTTTGTAATGTCATTCACATCATCTGTCACTGGATTCCCACAGGGACCTTGGGCTTTTGCAAGAGGATTAAGTAGGAGCAGCTGAAGATAAAAGCAAGTGATAATCCAAGTCTATATAAAAAAAGAGAATATTTATCTGATAAACATCTTCAAAATCATTCTGATTATGAGAGTCTTTCAAAACATTGCCTTGGCTATAAAGATGGGAAGAAAATACTAGCCTCATTGTTTATACTATTTTAAAAAAAAACAAGGATGACAGTAGCTCTTTATGGTACTAAAGTGTATTTCATGTTTCAAGGACACAAATGAAGAAAAACTTTGAATGTGATAGTCAACAGTTTAACACAATTAGTAGTATAATTAAGTTACTGCTGAGTAGTCAGATCTTTTCATTAAATTTCATCCATGATTCTTAAAGAATCTGTGCAGTACATTCCATTTCAGCATATAAAATTACAGTAGTAACTAGCCTTAGAACTGAAATCTCTGGAAAACAACATTCCTTGTGGAAGTCAAAATGCAACAAGACATACACCTTCATAAACATTCAATAATTATATATATGTTAATCTAAAGTGTAGAAAATATGGGTCATACTCACCAGTTTCAAAAACAAAAAAGCTATAAACACGTTAACTGAAAAGTTAGTGTTTAGTATGAAAAAATAGGTAAAAGTTATTGCCTGATGTGCCATAAAAAGGTTCTTGAACAGATTCTTGGCTTTGGCTTTCATAGTTGAAAATTAGATGCAACATCTTTGGATAAAAGTTATTGCCTGATGTGCCATAAAGGTTCTTGAACAGATTCTTGACTTTGGCTTTCATAGGTGAAAATTAGATGCAACATCTTTGGGCCAAAAAATACCTAGATTCTTAACCAACAGTAGAGTTTATTTTATTCACCACCCACATGGCAGGTGTCTCATGAATTGCACTTAAATTATTATACTTTTTCTAGGAAGGATGTATTTAAAAGTAGTAATGGGAAAATTGTTTCTCAGTCATCAGATCTTTCTTTTGTACAGCCTGATTCTCCATGTAGACTTATTCAACATTTACATGAAGCTGCGAGGAGGAATGATTGGATTTCATGGACTCAAATAACACCTATATGCAGATGATGCAATTTTGTCTGCATACATGCTAGTACCACTACCATACAAATAATTGCCTGGATCTGCAGATGGATAAGGAGGAGCAGATTGATGTTAAACCTTAACAAGACAAAAGGTGATATATATTGGCAGAAGGAAACGCTCTGAAAAGCTTACATCACTTGTATAAACTTCACCCCTTGGAGACACAGTCATGCCAGATCAAGTCAACATTCAGCATAGGAGTATTTCTGGACTCCTTGCCAACACTGAACTGTCATGCAGTAGTGTCCATACCATACTCTATCTTCTCCAGATGGCTAGAAGTCACAGTACAGCAAAGGATGACTTGACTTCAGTAGTACATGTCTTGCTCTCTCCCATCTAGACTATATGGGTATGTCTACACTACCCCCCTAGTTCGAACTAAGGGGGGTAATGTAGTCATACGGAGTTGCAAATGAAACCCGGGATTTGAATTTCCCAGGCTTCATTTGCATAAAGCCGGCTGGCGCCATTTTTAAATGCCGGCTAGTTCGGACCCCGTGCCGCGCGGCTACAGGCGGCACGGACTAGCTAGTTCGGATTAGGAAGCCTAATCCGAACTAGCTGTACACTTCGTCCCAACTAGCCGGCATTTAAAAATGGCGCCAGCCGGCTTTATGCAAATGAAGCCCGGGAAATTCAAATTCCGGGCTTCATTTGCAACTCGTATGACTACATTACCCCCCTTAGTTCGAACTAGGGGGGTAGTGTAGACATCCCCTATCAGTGCAATATACCTAGCTTGAGAGAGACAGCCCTGAGATAACTCCAACTGATACAAAATACAGCACTTTGTCTCTTCAGCAACATCTGTGACATGCAAATCAGCCCAGTATTCAGCTTGTGCTGCTGACTTCCCGTAGAACAGTGGTTCCCAACCTTTTTTATAGGGGGGACTGGCTAACCCATTCACAAACTTTTGGCGGATCAGCATTTTATTTGCATATTAATTATGCAAATAATGAATATGCAAATAAAATCTTACCAGGCTGCCAAAAGACCCGACCCTCTGAATCCCCCCAGTGAAGGCCCTAATTTCTAGAGCTTCCAACCCTCCACTACCCCCAAGTGCCAGTCCTCTACCCCTTAGAGCCCCCCTACCACCAGACCCCCCCCCAGTGCCAGCCTCAGTCACCCTGGATGCCCCAGTGCCAGCCCCCACCTCTTAGTGCTCGTAGTACTAGTCCCATCCCCAGAGTCCCCCAGTATTAGTTTCACTCCCAGAGTCCCTAAGTGCAAGCCCTCACCACTTAGAGCCCTCTACCCCCAGAGTCCTGGAGCCCTCAGGGCCTACCCTGCCCTCCTCACCTAACCCTGCACTGCCTCCCAGCTGCCAGGTAAGCACAGCTGCCTGGGTCATAGCTGCTCTAAGGCTGCCATGCAGGGCTCCATTCAGCCTTCCTGCTGTGCAGCAAAGTGCTTTTCTGTGTCCAGGAAGAGACCCCTCCCCCTCCCCCCACCTGGCACTGACTTACTCAGAGGCAGGGCAGGACATGCCTCTCCCAACAGCCACAACAGGAGCGGTGTATCCCAGCCCTGGCCCCCAGAGCCATTGCACCCTGGCAGCCAAAGGGTCTGTGGCCTGCTGGCGGTTGGGAGCCGCTGCTGTAGAACATCATAACAAATTTAAGCTCTAAATCTGTTTTCAGTGTGATACATCGTCTGAGCTCAGGAGTAGAGAAACTGCCTCAAAATTCTGAGACTGCTGTTAACAACAACTCCACTTCTGGTACAATGGAATTGTCTGTCTAACGTAAGTGCAAAACCTGCTTGTGCAGGAGACTGAGCCTTAAGTGGGACTGAGCCTTGACTTGAGCCTCTCTCAAAAGGGCTGTTTGGTGTATTTCTCCATGGGACAGGAAGAGCTGGCATCAGATTATTATTAAAAAATATCACTATATTGGAAACAGGCAACAAGAGACATTTGGCTTCAAAATGCCCGACGTCTTCTATCTTAACGTAAAAGGGACCAATTCCACTTTCAGAGTTACAATAGTACCATTACAGTTATCAAGAGTTCATCTACATATTAAAAATAATCTTGAATAAGATGTGACTTTAAAAATAATTGTTTCTAATTAAATCCTTACATGAATACTTTTTTTCCCCTGGAATAAGAGTGCTTTATGTAGAATTATCTTGATATACTTAAGATAAAGTATAGCTAGTCAGTAATCATCTCCATGTAGACAAGCTGTAAGATTCAGGGCTGCTTCCCAAACAAGTTCTTTGGCGATTCAGGCTGTTGAAGCATTGTTTTATTTATTCATTTTCTCATTACACCAATGTCTGTTCTGTTTTTTTTAACCATGAGACATACCAGTGTACTAAGGGTAGAATTTTGCTTTACATGTTTAATGAGCAGGAAGTAACTGAATCCTTAAATAGAAGGGTGTTTTGCTATACCAGGTAACAAACAAACCTGAAACAATTAGCTCCAATAAAAAGTAGTAATACATATTAGACAACAAACTGGACTTTACTGTACATCATGTGGTAATACTTTGAAAGTGCAGGCCACAGGTAAAAACTTAAACAAAAATAACGTTACACATATGCAAGTAAAAATATTGTGTTATGTACCTAATGGAAGTAATTGAATAGAAATTACCCTTTCCTATTGTAGGTAATTTGGGAAGTTTAAACAATACTATCCTACATCCTCTGAGAAGCTGCGAAACTGTTGCTGCACTGAACAAGTTATTTATCCAAAATACTTTATTTATAGTTACATATTGATACCACATGTACATGTGTGCGTTCACATGCATGAATGCACACACACACGACTGCATAGACTAGAGGGCTAAATTATATTTGTGTTATTTGTTTTTCATCTAGAGGCAACATTCTAGTTTCATCAACAGGAGTTTTGTTCAATCAACTATGGCATAACATGAGCCATTCTGAACTATCACACTGTCTAGAGTGCTTCACAACTGAGTGCCTACATCTAGACAGACTGTCAGAAAACAGGTAAGACACCCCAAACCAATGGTGAATTTTAGAATTAGATTTCATCAAGCAACAACAAATGTGAACTGGATCACTGTAACAGTCTTACCATAGAGTCACAGACTCTCTCAGACTCTCCAATCTATCTCGCTGCCCCAACAAAATGGATTTAGTGATAGTCACTTAAACGAATATCATACAATGGTCAGATTGCAATCCTAACAGAAAGTAATTTATCTCAGATCAACTGGTACCCTAGACCTTACGCCAAAATCCAAAGACTTTAGCCAATCCTGTAATAAACTAAAGGCTTATTAACCAGGGGAAAAAAGTAAGTTTATACATTAAAGCCAGCAAAACACACACACACACATGCATTACTATCTAAATCCTAAGAGTGACAAGAGTTGTAGTGATCTATCAATTCAAACTGTCTTTTAGGAAAGGCCCTGGGGATCTCTGCCTGATTGGAGTATTTGACCCTGTCAGCGTTTAAAGAGCCAAAAAAGATGGAAAATTTTCCTATGACGTTTATTTCCTTCATTCAGCTTACAAACCAAACCCATAGGAGGAACTTCCTTGTACATAGCAATTCCACAATGAGATAGGGACATAACCCATCCTTTATCTTGAGAGACCGTCTGATTTTGACAGTTCTTTGGGATGTGCAGGACAATTCCCATTGCTGGGTTCAAAAGTTCAGAGCAAGCATTTTCAAAGTTACAAAGTAAAACTTACATTTTTTTTATGGCACAGAATACAGACATTGCAAGAAAGACTAATGTATGCAGCAACTTACCAGCATTTCACAGTCTAAACACTAAATACATTGTTATAAGATAAATACCTATTCTGAGCAAAATTATCATATGGGTGAACTGGTCTGGTTTTCAACTATGAATTTGTTATTTCTTAGATAATGTTGGCAGTCTTGGCAAGAGCTGGTGTTTGACCTGCCAGTGTCAATTAAGGATAGCAGAACATGAATCATTGTGAATGTTGCAAATTTATAAAC